TAATTCTAAATTAAACTTATTAGCTAGGTCTTTTTTTTTTTATGTTTTTTTTTACTACTGAGGCTAGCAACTCTTAAAGGAATTAACAAGTTCCAAGTTCCAACCTTATGCCCTGTTCCAACCATTCTCACCAGGACAACCTTATTACAGTTCCAACCACCTCCTAGTGCCACCCTGTACACCAAGTCCAACCTTATCCCTCTAGAGCCTTTACATTGCTCCTCGCCTGCATCCGCCAGCTTGCCACCGAATGTAAACATTCGTAATGTCATTAATCATAGTGGAATAGTACTAATCACGTGATAGTCTATCTCCTTTCATTATTGCCCACCAATTTCATAACATTACATAGTCATCATCATAGAGGATTGAGGTTCATCAATAGCCCAATCAAGTATCAACAAAAGTGTACAACACATGTACGAGATCATAACAAGGAACACAACCGATAGATTTCAATGAAAGGCATGAATAGACCATCAACAACGTCATAACAACAATAGACTTTGATCCAAAGATCACCATGATTGGCAAAACAAGTTGCCAATCCTCATTAAGGACAAACGAACAACACATACTAGCATCAACAACATTATATTAGAACTAGAACGTACATCAAAAGGGGAAACATAACGGTTCAATCAACCTCAACGACTTCACATTAATCCAACGAATCACAAGGTTGCACCATAAGCACGATTCGATACTCATAATCCTATAATGGATACTTAGGACACTGTTCTAGACATACGAAACAGCAAAGGAGACACACAAGTGCACCACATTTCAACAAAATTGAGGCCAAAGCACAACGTACCAGTGGGCGGAACGGTGGGTGGACAACCACCCGCCACTCTCCCATACACGTACCAGCGGGTGGAACCACGGGTGGGCCTCCACCCGCGGCTTTGCCCGCCGGTCCTCTTCCTTCCACCTGCGTGTGGAACGGTGGGTGGGCAACCACCCGCGGGTACATACCTGTACCCTCAAACTTCCCTTCGGGGAAAAACATCAACAAAGCCAAGTTCAAGTCCAAAACACCCAAAACCTCACATTCAACAAGGAAATGACTTGAACACATGAATAGCTCAATGAATAGCATTTATGAACCCTGGAACAAGCTCTAACATGCATAAACACAAGATTATGCATCAAATCACTCACAACATCAAGAACATCAATAGAGTAGCAAGAATTCATCATAACAAGCATAAAATAGGTTTTGTAGAACATTGGTTACCTTTGTAGTCTAAGAAACACTTCCTTTCTACATCCTAGACCTCCCCTTGAAGTTCTTCCTCAGCAAAGTCTTCTCAACACAACAAACCCACACAAAGAAAACCAACACTTAGATAAAGATTAGGCAAAACCCACTAAAAACACTATCTAAGCTACGATCTTACCCTTCCTAGAGTCTTGATGGTGGAAAGGTGGAATCTTGGAGAACTTCCTTGCAAGGTTGAAGGGGGATTTGGTTGGCTTGGAGAATAAGCTACAGCTCTAGAGAAAAGATGGAGAGTCTAGTGTTTTCTTGCCAAATGTAGGAAATGAAGTGTAGTCTTGTTAGGGTAAGGCTTGGATCCCAAGTAAGGGTGAAAGGACTAGTATGCCCTCCCTTATTAAAAGGTTAGGAAGACATCAAAAGGCTAGGTACAACTTATAAAGCTCCAGGTCTTTTATTTTGACTAAACCAATTGACCAAGGGATTGGTCAATTTAAGTCCTCCGACTTTTAATTAAGGAATTGGAAGGGAAATTCACAAGGAAGATTTGGAATCAATTACATAATTAACTCCATTTAAGAATTGGATTTTCGGGGTGTCACAAGTTAGCAGTGAGCTTCAGCATCCACATAAACCTGGAGCTTGTTAAGCCCATCATTGGTCCTCTATTGCCATTAAAAGACTCGATAATCATAAGGGATGCTTTGTAATCTTTGGGGCCTTTTAGGTGTATACTGTTTTCGAAATTGGGGTCTTGGCATGTTGGGATACACCCTAGAATAGAATGTTTGCTTATGTCTATGATAGCTCTCGAATTGCGCTTTCGGCAAGGTTCAGGGATCATAAGCCAATTCTCATCGGAAGGAAAAAGTCTTTTGACACCTCTCATTGACCTTCTAGATGGTCTCTGAGGTTTAGCGAACCCGTTATTGAATTGACCATTTGGGTAATGTCTCGGCTTACCCTTAGATTTACCCTTATGTCGTCTCTGTGAATCGTTTCACATCAGGTTTGTAACACCCCCGTTTTTCACACTTACGAGCCTAGCATAATTTGTACAATTAAGAGGTTTACGCAACGGAATAAACAAAAGGATTCTATTAACTACTAACAGAGTCTAGAATCCATAACCAATAACGGGGAATGCTACCGCCACAACCATCCACCCTTGGATGACTACAAGCCTAAACTACTAGTGTAACACCCCCAATTTTCATATACTTGAGCCTAGTATTAACATACCTTTAAAGGTAGAAATGCGGAATAAAAGAAAGGGTAAAGTATATATTAATTACCCAACAAAACCATAATCGAGGATGCTACTTCGTAGCCACTCTCAAAAGAGTAACTACACTGAAAGCTAACTAACATACATCATCATAAAACATCAGTAAGGGCCCATAAACTCAAATATTCGGAGTCTAAGCTCAACCTCGAAAATAAGGCTCACAGGCCTAAGTGTCAATGCACTAGATAGAACATAAAAAAGGTAGTCCAAGCTACACAAATCTAGCATCAAGATAAAGTATAAGAGGATTAACAAAACAACTAGGAACTAGAACAAAACACTATACTAATCAAGCTCCGTCTAAGCGCGCTTAACAATCATCGGTCAATCCTGAAAGTGGTTAAATAAAAAGAGAATACAAAAATAACCCGTTAGCACGAATGCTAAGTATAAACAACTCTACCCTGTAAAATACATATAGATATAGATTGAAAAATGGTTTGTTATCATATAACACGTTAGGCCAATTAAGATCATAGATATAAAGTCAAATAGGTTCACATGTATATAAATATACATATATAATAATAATAATACTTATCTATAAGTATAAAGCTCGCATGCAAGTGTAATTCATGTACAAACACTTATACAATTCATACTCAAGTATACATACCCACTACACACTAACAAGATATGAATCAAGTTTGACTTAATAGATCAAGGAATAGGCAAAGTGACAGGCGATCACGTGAATAATCAAATCATCGTAAGAAGGTAAAACATCATATCATGCATAACATTGGGAATCCAGTGACATGACAACTTGACAATGATTGATGAAACAATGAAACAACATAGCGAAATTAGTACTAGGCATGAAATCAATAATATACTCTCACTTTCAAGAAAACAAGAGTTCTATATTTATATAGATAGTAGTAATGGAGGGGTTATCATATTTCTCATGAATCATAACTGTCTCATCAATCTCATCGTATCACCAATCTCAACTGAACCATCATATTGTCTCACCCACATATCTCATAAGTAACATGGAAACGGGACCACTAGGTTCCTACCTCCCTACCAGTATGATGATTCAGTTGAGATTGATGATAATCATACTGTCTCGTCCACATATCTCATAAGTAACATGGAAATGGGACCGCTAGGTTCCTACCTCCCCACCAGTATGATGATTCAGTTGAGCGATCAACGTTTCATGTAGATCGCGGGTTGATCACCCGGAGCAGGCATTTTGACAAGTGATTGTCATAGCAGGTAGCTTTGTAGCCTTCACTTTGGGTTTTTATAGAAGAACGAATGTAAAATTTTCGTTCCACTCCTTACAAACGGCGCTTATGTTGGTTTTATATCATTTGGGTAATCAACGGCTAGCCAACACTACCGTCAAAATAACAAGTATATGAGAATAGAAAGAATATAGAGAAAATTACCCCATATAGAAAGAATATATATTTTGTATTACTAAGAACATCTTGTCCATTCCCATATATAATATGGGGTCTGATGTAGTTAATATAGGGAATACTACTAATTCGTAAGGTGCTATGGTCGAACCCGGTTACAGTGTATTTCTTAGTCTGCTTGTTGGTTTAAGCCCTCAAGATAGGGTTACATGACAGTGGGTCAGAGGTTCCGGGGCTTAAAATAATGTGCAAAAATTGTTCAAAAATAATTGTGCAAAAAAGGTGTGAAGTTCGAGGCTTTGTCCCGTCCTCGCTGTGGCCAGTTTGCTTGCTTTTGTTCTGGCCGGCGATCGTGTCTACTTAACTCGGCCTCCTGCCGCCGAGTTGGCGTCTATAACATTGGCGTAGTTCGTCACTCGGCGGAAGTGCGAAACGCGTCCTCGTATATCTGCGACGAGTGTAAGATGAAATCCTAGTACAGGGTTCCTGCTCGAAGCGATGAGTGGAGCATGTTAATGACAGTGCGATCGTCCATCGACTCAACCTCCCTGATCGCGTTCTTCCACTTTATAAGAAAGTCCGACAACAATTCCCCGTTACTGGGCTCTGGTCCATCGAATATTAAATCGCCTCTCATACTGTAATAGTATTTGGGATATTCAGAGAAGAGAGTCAAACTCAAACAACTGAGAGTTGAGAACTCAGACAACTAAGAGATGAGAGATCAAAGAAGAGAGTTGAGAGAACCGAGAATTGATGAATGTGATGCTTTCTGGAAACCCAAACTCAACCTAAAGGAAAATCCAATCTATATTTTGCATGAGCTTTCAAATGGATTTGTGAAGAGTCATTCACATCACCTAACATGCTTTTTATGTTTGTTTCACGAAAAAGAATTGAAAAAAAAAAATGAATTTGAACTCTATGGACTTGAAATATTGGTGACACCATTTGCTATTGCAATATTCATTTAAAATGTTCAACATTAAAAATTCATCAAAATAGTAATTTTTCATCAAAAAACATACAACTGTGAACATTCATAGTAAAAGAGATGTCCGACCGTACAGGGTATGAAATTAAAATGAAAATCTATATTCTGTACTGGAACAAAATGTTTGGAGCAATATAAAATTTATTAAAAAAAAAAAAAAAAGAAGACAAAAACTATGTAGTGTCTCTCTGAAGCAAAAGCTTGCATGTTTTTTTTCCAGTGTAAGAATTAGGGAAAGATCTACAGCAAGTGGTTCTCAGCAAAAATGGCACTTGCACAAAATTAAGTAGCATATTTACAAAAGCTTACAATCAAACCTGAAACATTCAATCACAAATCATGTATCTATATACTCAGGAGCAAGAATAGTCCTTAATAGTTCCCTCAAATTAGCAAGTACATGGCGTGGCCCTAAGCTTCTTGCACCAATATAATTCAAAAGCTGTTCTAGATCCTACAATTAAAGAGGAAGAAATAAATGGTCAATAAGCACTTCATGCTCCAAGTCTTGCGGTGAGAATCAATTTCGGATACATAAGAAGTAGACTAGTATACAAGTAAAAAAGAATTTTGGTTTCTCAAAAGTGATATGTATAGCATAATGAAACCGCATACATTTTTAAATACAGTAAATCCATAAAGTCTAATAGCATAACCATTTGATCTTCTGCAATGCCATTAGACAACACCAGCTCCCCAAGGGGTTGCTATTAGCTCCCATAGTTCCATTGCACATATAGAGGCATACGGCTTTACAGTTCAAATCCATCCCCATTTATAGGCCTCGATATGAGAATTTGAGCATATATAAAAATATAGAAAAAGAGGAAACGAAAAAGAAAGCAAACCTTATTTAGCAGGAACACAGCATATGCTGCTCTTGTTGAATCTTGCCCTTCTAAAAAGAGAGGAAATTCCACGGGCTTCAAATTTGTAGAGACTAATGAATCTGATATCACATCTAGTGATGATGGTTCAATTGAAGGTGCATAATCACATATGTATGATCTGGAACCTCCTAATCGCAAAGGATAGCGAAGAGGAACTTGTAAATAGGAAGCAATGAGTGATACAGCCTGCAATAAGTCAATCACCAAGATCAATACATGCTAGTGAACTAGGAATATCATGCCTAATGCATAATGGGAAGATGACAAAGAAGGGATCTTCATTGTGATTTGCAACTACACAAGTGAAGAAAGATAGAATAAAATCATTGATCTACATAAGCTATCATGTTTAATGAGAGAGAAAGAACAGTTGATTAGCACAATGAATGTTAAACAATCAATTATCCATGAAGCAAAGAGAAAGAACACACATGTGCAACATATCCCAGAGCAGTTGCAGACCTCTGAACCTCCTTCTTATCAGTGAAAAAACTCTTCTTCGTAAAAGGAATCACAGTAAGATGCAGGCCAGCAATTGTCAAGGATCCTTGATCTAGAGGTTTTTGTCCAGTATAATTACCTGAGAAGGAAATACATGAAAATTGTAGGCCAGCAACAGTGGCTGATTTCACAGAAAGGAAGATTAACATCCCCTTATGCTTTTCTATCTCATGCAAATTCAAGAAAGAGATGCAAAAAAAATTTAAAAAAAAAAAATAACAAATAACAAATATCAAATATACTAATTATTGGTTATCAGCAAGAAGCGAAAGATGTTTTTAAATTTTAACCATAAATCCTTCCAGGAAAGAAAATAATTCAACTAAAAATGCATAGTGTAGGAAAAACATACCTACAGCCTAATTACGGACAGACATAAACATGCATGTTTTAGCTATTAAAACTGTTAACAAAAGGGCTAGAGCACAAGCAGTATTACTTGATGCATCTTGAATCAGAAAAGTTGCTAACCCCTTTTACATTTACACTAGCATTCAATTCACAGCAGTATGCATTGTTGCCCTTAAACCATGATACAAAGATAAGAATCACTTGAACAGATGCTAATAACAGTCATGTTCAAACTTTAGTATTCAGAAGCGTGATCCATCAAATTAGATAAGCATTATGTAGACAAACATTGAGCTAGGATGATGGTCTGGCTTTTGGTTTTTGGATACATAGAGTCACTTCAAAGACAGTTCTCTAGATGGTGTACTAACTATTCAAGAGGCGACACAGAACCTTTCAACAAATTAATACTTCATACTCCCTAAAAGTTGTATACCAAGTATCTAATAAGATTGTTTAAGTAAGAAATAAAAAAATATGTGCTCTGTTCTAGGTGACACAGAATCTTTTGTAAGATTAATACTCCCTAGAAAATGTATCCCAAGTATCTAATCAGACTGTCAAAGTAAATCAGAAAAGCATTTTCCTTTCATGCATTTAGGCTTCAATTATATAGGAGGGCCTAAGTTCCTGTTAGTAAAGATTTTTTTAAATGAGAAGAAAATAGTGGAACACAACTTACAATCAAACAGTGGTAAAGAATTGCACAGACCATGGCAGCTAATCATTATATTTTGGTACGGCATTATTTGTGATGCAGTGTTCTATAAAATCAACCATATATGCAACCACATTATTAAGAAAATTCAGTACCCGATTTGATAATACTGGTAAATGATTCGAGTTCTTGTTCTGGTGCATGTCCTGTTGTTACTTTCACAGGATAAAGCAATTGAACCTGCGATACCATAAACTGTTGTCTTAGTCTCACAAATCTCTGCAAGGATTTTAAATGCCCACAACCCATTTCCCCAGCAAGTGATCTATTAGCATCCTGCATTGAAGCACAAGTATTTCAGCGGATACGAAAAGGTTTTTAAAAAAATAATAATCATCATAAGGCATAAGTACAGACCCAGATTTACTATTAACACAAACCAAAGGCTTCCTTTCCTTATAATAACTAGTATTAAATAGATAAATATCATTAACAAATATCATTAATTGGAAAGTATAGATAAATGCACCATTTCTCCAAAAAAAAAAAAAAAAAAAAAAAAAGTCCCCATCAATAATTTGGATGAAATTTGGAACTTAAGAGGAGATAGTATTAGACTATTAGTGTTAAAACTTAAAACTACGCAAGTACGCAGAAATCTCCCCAAGTTTTTGTAGCTCTACATAGAAAACTTAAAACCATCACACATTATGGTACAAATTTGTAGAAGCAACTCTAGAACAAATGTACAATGCATGACAAAATAAGAAAATAGGAAGAGGAAGAACACAAATTATGAAATCTTTGAAAGGTATTCTAGGAGCGAAACCTAAAGGAGTTGAATGGAAATAACTATATCTAAAATTCAAATCAAGCATAGAGGTATCTAGTTGATGGGTCAAATTATGAAACTCCAAGATATTGGATATGGGGCTCAAAAAAAATTCTGTATAACCAATCTGGTTTATATGTTTTTACGCCAATGGATAGTATTATCTCATTGCACAACTGGTGGAATATGAGAGTTCCAAGTAATTTTTACAAACATTTAAAAATGGTGTGAGTGAGTATCAAAACAGGTAGAGACATCTTTCAAAGGTGTGAGAGAAGAAAGGTGTTGCCCTTTATATATTCGAAACTATAAACAACACATTTCAAAGAACAACACCTAGTGTAATAAAACAATAAAGCTAGTTAAGTAATACTTATGCACAATGATGACACACAAATTGAGAAGTGGTGATACACTATAAATCACATATTTTCATGCTTCTTTAGTTCTTTCAGACTCCCAAAATTGAATAATCGTATTTGTGATAATATTTGCATAAGTAATAAAGCAGCAAGTAAGGTTTTGAGAGAGAAATGAAGGTTATGCATCCCAATAAGAAAGCCAAAAATAATAAGATTTTTGGAATTAAGATGTTAATTCCAAACCACAGAAAATAAAATTCACCAAATAAAACATTGTAGTAGGAAGAACCAGTACTTGCATCCTATGTAAGGTTGGAAACTTTAATATACATACGCACACACACAACACACAAATATATATAAGTTAGGATACCTGCAATCGCTTCTTAGCAAGAGAAAGAGCAGTTCCAGCAACCAACAAAGACCTGATATCATTACTAAGTTGGTCCTCTTCCTTCTTGACCTTCTCTTTCAAGACCTTTGAATTCATTGATGTGTTTCCCATCACTAATTTCCGATGCTCTAATTTTTCTCTCATCTCATCAAGCTCATTTGAACAATTCAATGACTCTGCTTCAAGCTGGAGACCACAATCCCTCATTGTTCAGTTACAAGCTCAACAAATCCAACAAGTAACAAACAAACCAAAGAGTATCGTGTAGATGGGAATAAAAAGGCTAAAAAGGGGGGAAAATGCTTTGAGTCAGCTACTTAACCAGACTGAGGAAAATTTAACTTTTAACCTATCATATGCCAGCACTTGGCAGAGAGGTAACATTTTTACTTGGTGCAAACTTTAACTTGCCAACTGAAGAGGCTACACAAAAATAATAGAAAGTAAAATAAAAGGCTTTGGGAACTAGTCACCAAACTAACAATCATATTAACTACTCCATATCAAATGCTGAAGATATGCATGTTCCATTAGAGGCTTCCAAGCTTTTATACTATGGGGAGTGGGGACATGTCCTTGAATAAGCCAATCCCCTCAGATCTGGTATGTTGGATAATCCCCGCACTAATCTAATATAACAAATAATGAAGAAAAAAAATACAGATATCATATATTTCAAATTCTGACAAACACACACACACACACACACCCCCTCCCCCCCCCCCCCCCCCCCACCTCCCAAAAAAAAAAAAAAAAAACACGATAATCTCAACATAAACATAATTTATGAAACTTGGCTAATTTTCCACCCTTTTTAACTTACAAAATATTTCTATTTATGTTTGGATAGTTCAAGAGTATTGCATCAAGAATTGTATCCTAACCTACAGAGTTCACGAGAATTATCAAAAGAAAATTAATTAATACGGAGTAGTTATAATAAATAAATAAAAGCCATACCCGTAAGGTGGACTGTAGTTTTTCGTCAAGCAATTGCTTCTTCTGCTTGGCTTCATTGAGGGCAGCGGTGAGACTGCAGAGACGGGCGAGCTCTTGTTCATAATCTTCCCACTGTAAAACCTTAACCTTCTCGTCATGGCTCCGCTTCCCTCCCTCCGATGAGACAACAGCTTTCTTCGGTTCCATTAACAAATGAACTAACCAGGTTCAAATCAGATTCGATCTTCTGACGATTATCGACGTGCAAGCGACACCAACTCTTCACCATCGTCTTACGCCGGATCGTCGAGAAATTAGGGTATGGTTAACCTCATTGGATATGATACGGGGAGATTATTCCGTACTTATAGAGGGGAATTTGGGGTTAAGGGTTTGTGGGGTGCGAAGAAGAGTAAAGATGAGAGAGGAAACACAAGAGACGAAGACAAGTGTTCTGCTGATGATCAGGAAGACCGACGGTAAAATTAAGGGCATGTTTGATTAGAAAAACTATTTGTGGAAAAATAGAATTGAAATTCTATGAAAAATAAATTAGTAGAAATAATTTTTAAAAAAAAATTATTAGGAATATGAATTTTATTGTTTAGTTGGTAAAAGAAATTATTGAGAATATTAATTTCTTTAAGTGAGGTTGTAATCGTAAATACTCTACTATTTATCTATTATTATATTATTCTTTTAAATTATATATTCTTTATATAATAAAGCTATATGGTTTGAGAAATAATTAATGTTACAATTAATGCCACAACATCCTTTATTAAAAAAAAAAAAGCACAACATTTAAAAAATAAAATAGCTATACATTATATAATCATATAAAAAATATGCTTTTGAAAAATAAAATAGCTATATATTATATAATCATATAAAAAATGTGTTCAATTAGAGTTTAAATTTACACATACAAAATTTGAAATTTGCTTTCCAAATGTAATTATTTTAGTTATTATTCGTATTGTGAAAATTATAATATATATTAAATACAATTAAGAATAAATCAATGTAATTATGTAAATACTTTCTATAAGTTTATTTGAATATGCACATAATTAGAGATTATATTAACCATACAAAATTATAATTTTAATTTTAATTGTAATTTTGTATTCTATAAAAATAATAAGTACTTGACCAATAGAAGCTCAAAAATGTTATTATATTAAATAATTTAAAATATTTTAGTTTTTCTATTTTTATTTATATTTATAATAACATAATTTTTTTCCCGTGCATCGCGCGGGTGAATTACTAGTATATATATATATATATATATATATATATATATATATATATATATATATATATATATATATATATATATAAGTGCCCAGGAAGGAAATGCGAACGAATCAGCGCGCGACACGTGTCCAGATCTAATAACTTAAAAAAAAAACGCGGTGGCATTTTCGTAAATAATTGAACATCGAAGTGCAAGTAAAATCTCTTATAAGTGCACCTATTTTCACCTATAAGTGCATGTAATTTTGCCTTGTTAGCATTCACTTTCCGCAACCATTCATGCACCTGGGTGTGCTTATAACTACATGTGCAACTATTTATAATTATAGGTGCAACTACTTATAACTATTGGTGCACCTACTTTCACCTATAAGTGCATGTAATTTTGCCTTGTTAACATTCATTGATCTGAGTTCAGCGGGTAGTAATACTCCTGAAAACCACTCGCAAACATTCATACACCTAGATGCAACTACTTATACCTATGTGTGCAACTACTTAGAACTATAAGTGCAACTAAGTATTGATGCTCAGTGTAAATTTTTACTTGCACCTATAATACATTTTACTTGCACTTCGATGTTCAATTATTTACGAAAATGCCACCGCATTTTTTTAAAAAATCAGTGTTTCTCATCCATTAGATCTGAACACGTGGACAAACAGAATCTATTCCTATTTCGCGCCTGGGCGAGCCGTTCGCACCCGAGTGCAAGTCTATATATATATATATATATATATATATATATATATATATATATAATGCACATCATACTCTTTCCACATCTCTAGGAAATGCAAGGGAGGTACATCCATATAAGGATCACTCACTATACCATGCATAACATAAATAACTAAAAAAAAATTTATGCCTGCAATAATAGAAACAAATATTGAAGATGGTGCTGAGTAGAAATTGCGACACGAGAAACTAGTATATATACCAGCACACTACAATGCAAGAATATATCTAGGTCACATATCATTTTTAGTCTCTTTTTTTTCAAAAATTTCTTGTTGGTCCTAATATTATTGTGGCATGATCATTCTTGGTCCTCCGAACTATTTAATTCTAAGTGTTAAATCTTTTTTTTTTTTTTTTTTGTGTCGTAGATTTATGTCTCATTTCACTAACGCAAAGACTTAGGTTGTGGAGGCACTGATGTGGCCTGTGGACTCCACATTGCTATACAATTAATCTAGATTTTGTTTTAAATGTAGTAGGTTATTGAATTAAAATTTTTGTATTTGTAGTTTTAAATTCTTGTCATTTTAATTATTGTAATGTAGTTTTAATTTTAATGTAGTTTTCGTAAACTATGCTGCCATTGCAGCAACTATCCATTGCAGCAACGGATAGTTGCTGTACACTGGCAGCATAGTTGCTGCAACCTCTTTTAAATTTTATATATATATATATATATATATATATATATATATATATATATATAGTCAAGGGTTCTGGTGCGGGTAGCACTGTTAGGTGCGGTTGTGCAGTTGCGAGGATGCCGTTCGCTTTTAATGAGTACAAATATCCTGACCGTTGATCTCAAAGTTTGAAATTCGCGTACTTTTTATTGTATTCGCGTACTGAGGGACAAATTAGTAATTTTGATTAAATTAACTTTCATCGCTGTTCTATATCGTCGTTCGCATTGCCGTCGCCGTTGTTTTTGCTTTTCAAAGAATCGCTCAGTTGTCTGTCGTTTCTCGATCGTTTAGCATTGCGATGTCCATTGTTTTTGCTTCCAAATCTTTTTCAATTTTCTGTTGTTATATAGTATGTAGTTATCGTGGATATACATTTGTTTTTTTTTTTTTTTTCAGAAAATTGATCTAGTTTATTTGGTTATGAAAATGGAGAACGATAAGTTATATTTTTGGAGCACATTGTGTGTTACATTTACGCATAGTAAGTGTTAGACGGACGGATGTTCATTAATGAGATATGAGACGCATAGTAAAGATATAAGAGATGCATTTTAAAGAGATATTAGACGCATATTAAAGAGTTACGAGACGCACATTAAAGAGATATGAGACGCATAATTAAAGAGATATGAGACGCATATTAAAGATATATGAGAAGCATATCAAAGAGATTTGAGACGCATATTAAAGAGTTTTGCGAAATGATTTATTTTAATTGGTACTCAAACGTACGGAAATCAAGAACTGAGGTCCCGCACGTTGTACTTTAATAACTCGCACGTAATGGTGTTTTTGAACGCACATAAATTTATTTGTATTATATTATTTTTTTTATAGTTGTTTTTAATAATAATTATTTTCCATGGTATTTTAGTATGCAAACGAACGCTCATTAAGATATGAACTTAAGCAATGTGTAATGTAATTTTTAATACCGAATATCAACACATATCAACCGTGGTTTAAAAAAATGTTAAGATTTTACATTTTTTTTTCTTTTTTATTTCAACTTTTTATTTGTCACAAAAATTAACGCACATTAAAGTTTTTTAAAAGCACGTTCAAGGTTAAGTGGATGCATATTAAGAATATAAATTGTATGAATTAATAAGCTATTTTTTAATATGCGTTCATGAAACATACAATATGCGTGAAAATATATATTAATGTGTTTCAAATATCTTACAAAGTAGTTTACATGAAGATGCTGAACTAATGTAAATTAATAAAACCTTTAACAATAAAAAATATTCATTATTTTTCGTACTTAATACCAGCCTTTTTCATGTTTTTTCCAGACAATTCATTGATTTCAGCAGTTAAAATTGATGTAATGTATTTGACCCTGAGGTCTGCAAGATCTGATGGTTTAATTTCACTGCTGTCAATTTGAAAACCAATCACTCCACCCCAATGTATGTTTGCATGTGGCACATTGTAAGTACACCACAATCACCTTTCTTCTTGGGGCCACTCCATTGGATTAGCATTCTTTCAAGTGTAGCCTTTCTAAGTCTGTTTGCAGCACTGTATGAATCCCTTTCGTTCAAATATCTTACAAAGTAGTCTTTCTGCAAATAAATAGAGAAGCATTAAATACAGAAAAAACTAGACTTCATAAAATGTTTTATAATGTGTTAATTAGTACTTACCAAAAGAAATGGTATTTGACCATATTTGTCAATACCAGCAACATCAGCAGAAGAGTTGTCAAGTATGTGTATGCATGTATGATAGACATCCATATCAATGCATATGACATATATTTCATCAGCTGCAATCACTGGAAAAAAGAACTGCATTTTGTACACTTTTAGTTCGGAGAAATTATAAATACAAATGTAATGTAAGTATGTAGAATTTAATTTACCAAACGACAGTTCATAGGGTCACCAGTAGCAATGTCAATTTCATGATTAACACTTTCTCGAAACTTTTCATACAGCTGATCAGTACTGTATCCGGGTGGTTTATACACAATAGAAGATGCCTACAGGAGTATGATAATCTTGTCAACATTGCAGTATGTGCTCCAAGACATTTGTTAATGTGCATGAAATCATAAATCAATAATAAAATGACTTACAACTGGTGTCGTTGAGAAAAAGAATCGTCTTTTGTTACAATACTTAAAGGTGTAGATCTCCATGTTATTTAGAATTAAGCCCCAAGTGTCCAAAACACCAGCTTCCACATGTTCACCCTTCCTCAATGACCTCAACTCAATCATCAGTAAACGTTTGTCTCCATGTTTAAAAACAATTCACACCTACAAAAATTTTCAGATATGAAGTAAAAAAATCAGTAAGTAAATACACACGCACATTAAGCATTACATAGACGCACATTAAGCATTACACAGACGCACATTAAACATTACATAGACGCACATTAAGCATTACATAGACACACATTAAGCATTACATATACGCACATAAAGCATTACATAAACGCACAATAAGCATTACATAGACGCACATCAAGCAGAAATTTCAGGCATATTAAGTATAAAACTCACACACATCACTAACATTTAATAGCACACATGAAACACTAACTTGTTATGAAACTCATTTTACATATAGGAATTTCAAATGTAACTTACTTATTTGTATTATTGGCGGTATAAACCCAGTTGTTGAGCATGATTTCATTCGGAGTGTGCGGTGCAGTGAAGTTCAGGTTCATTGTAAAGCATGGATAGTCCATCGCATATATCTTTTTGATTTGCACACGGTGTGTTTGTAGTCTCTCCTCAATAGGTGTTGATGCTTCTTTTGCAGCTTCTTTAAC